ATTGTTTGTGGTGACACTCCCAATACAGCCGACGCATTCCGAACGCTGGTCTCAGGATGATTGTCAAAATGTTGTAAAATACGATTCCCTGCCTGCAAATCTCTTCGTAACGCTGCTTGAAATCGGTTGTTTTCTTGTCGAATTGAAAATGTTCCAGTCTCTCGCAATCTATTAAATGTCAACATAAACACTCTTCGGTTTGGCACTCTTCTGTTTGGAAATCGTCGTGCATATTCTCGCACCGCCTTTAAAGCATTACCGTTGCAGAAACCGTATACAAAAACCATATCAGCATATTCACTATTAGAATACGTACGCGGCATATTGCAAAAGACAAAATTCATCTACTGTTAAAGGCTTTCAAAGAGCGACTGACAAATTCATAACAGAAAGTGGAAAATGTAATCAAATATGTCGGTGCTAGATATGGCAAGAAATGTAAACATTTTTTTTCGATTTCTCTGAAACGGAGCAAAAACGAGCATATGCCTATAGGACTTTTTTTCTTAGTTTTTTACTCCTCTACACGCTCCCGAAGTTTTGCGATTTAATTTGGAAACACCCTGTATAATTAATCTTTGATTATTATTAGCATTACACAGAATGTAGATTACAATGAAAAAAAAAACATAAAAATGCATAACACATATTATTTTCTGTAGTCTTTATTTATATCCATCGGAGATAGGGGAAAATGTTAGCAAGGATGTACGATATATTTAATAGTGGCCGAAAATTACTCGTCCACAACACACACTACGTATTCATAATTATACATATTTACAGAAAATGCAACTGAAAACCGTTAATATCGAAGATTAATTAATCCGTATGCAGTTGATGTGCTTGTTATATCCATTCGTAATAAGACTTTATCTGTCGGCCAAGCTTAATTAATAGCATTAATTCACATGTGTAATTATTCATCCGAGACTTGTTATACACCAATGATACATTAAATCAGAACAATATGGCATGTTATAACAACCAGCAACCAATTCTTCATAGAAGAAACCGGGGCCGGTTGGCATTAGAGGTTTGCATTACGTTCCGTTTATATATTTATGACGAAAGAAACAATGGAAACGTTACCGCAAAGTATTCTTTTACAACTAACAATTAACATAGATACTTTTCTCTAAATTTCATTTAAATCAAACAAGTATTACAATGGAAAAGGGAAAAGTCTGAAGAAGTAAATAAATTTTTGAGCATTTCATAATTTCGTATTAATGTCCTCCGTCTTGAGAAAGCAAAGTGACGTATTATTAGTTAAAAGAAAAGTGTTTGTTAGTATACGACACGTTAGTATACGACACGTATTTTAAGTAACAATGATAATTTGTTATAATAAAATGATAAAAATCAGACGTGTGAAAAGGGATGAGATAAGTTCATTTCTAAGAAAAGGTTAGAAGAAATATTTATTAATATTCCAAAAAATTATTTCGCATATAGCACAGATAAATTTCCAAGGGATGTTCTGAAGGATATCCTAAGAAAGTCCCAACGTTCTAAGAACGTTTCCAGAAAGATCCTCTATAGGATAAAGTGTGCTATATGGGTTAGCATGTAAATCATCAGATTATATTTTTTTGTCAAATTTAATTGTCTCTTAAAACGTTTAGTAATTAATGGTCAATATTAAAGCATATATACAGAACGTATATTCTCCCAAACATTAAATAAATTAAACGATAATAATTAGACATTTCGTTATTTCTATACAGGTTCACGTGTTGAGCCAACGCGGATTGAGCGAGTTAAACGATGACAGTTATTCGCACGATAGTGACCTTCAGGAAACACCACTTCCGGAAGCTCTCCGTCATAAGTGGCAACTGAAGCCAATGAAAATTCCGGTTGCGTGTGTGTCGATGACAGGATAGAAGAAATAATATATGACCAACTCGGACGTGTCAACCGGATAGAGAAGATAGAATTTATTAGCTTCTATCGATCGTTAAGATTGTTAAGTATTTGATGAATAGATACGTGCGAAATATTGAATTTTACGCTTCTGCTTGCAATACATACCTACTTGGCAAAATTTGAAACATAAAAGTAATAAATAAATAACTGAACTGTGAACTTTAGTGGTGTAATTTTTACCTTTTTAATCTTAAAATATCAACCTTTTTTTTAGAGAATTTGTAACATCTTCACTATTAAAAATTAATGAGCAAAAAAGAATTCATTAGGAAAATAATTAATCATAATTTAATTTAAGGGAGAGAGAGAGAGAGAGAAAGAAAGAAAGAAAGAAAGATCGGAGATTAATATTTATATGCTTTCATGTCACACCAAATTTATAATATCTCTCTCTCTCGAAAAAAATTTGTTAATATACCCAATTAATAGGAAATTTAATTTCCTACAAAAAAGTTCTCTTCACTTTTTTTCGTATTTTGCGTTATTTTCGATATATATTAAAAATAATGAAAAATGACACTTTTTATTAATATTCTGAAACGCTTAACCACTTAATTTAATAGCATTTCTCTTTTTAACTTATTTACATGTCGAATGATCGTATGAATCAATAAAATTGCACTAAAGAATTAGTTTCAAATAACAATTGTTTTTCAGCTCCAGGCAATAGCCTATAATTAGACACGTAATATAATTTAAGAGACAATACCGATCGCCCATTCATTCAGGCCTCGCGCCAAAAGATATGATAAAAAATCATGTTTTCAGTTTCGTTTTACGGCTAGGATTACCAAAGTAATCAACGGCGTGAATAAAACTGGGCGCAATGAAATCTGCGACACGGGGATCCAATTCCGTACAATAAATCGTGCTGTAAAATAGTCGATTAAAAAAAGACTCTTGGACGCTTTAATGACAGGCCTTTACCGCCTGATTTAATTTTTAGCTATACGACGCTGTATTTTACGACACGTTTTTGTCGCCTCTCGTAATTCTGATTTCCTCACTTATAGGTAAGAATTGTCTTAAAATTACACATTCATAATTCTAATATCATGAGTGCGTACTATCGGTAAAGAAAACTTACATATACAGAGAATCATTTTATTATGTAACTCACATTTTTCTATGGAGGAAATCCTAAAGACGATTAGTTATAGTGTAAGTAAGATTTACACACAGATGATTTACGTGTGACATTGACACATCATTGTATACTATTATATACTACTACATCAATATCTCACGTATACATACATAAATTTTCGTATAACATTTTAATTATCCAGGTAGAACATGGAGTTATAATTAAATCATAATGATATCACAGAATCGTCATCATGACATCATTTGATACTTAAAAATTAACTTATAAGTGACGAACGAAGTCATGATGTCCTCATGATATTATTACGACTTCTATGTTCTACTTGGGTAGACATCTAAGTCCAATTCTAAAAACTTCACGTTATTTCTTCGTGCAAACTACAAGGCTGTGGACTACTATTTCATACAGACTGCACAGCTTTTATATAAAGCAAATGTTGTCACGACGTGACAGCTCTAGAATGTCATATTGGACTAAGAAATGGTAAAGGAGATCTCAATTTCGAAATTTTTGTTTGCGGCATAAATTCCACCCGACAGACATGTATTAATGTGTATAATTTTTAATCCTGGGAAAGGATTTTCGAATTTATAAAAAAGGGAAAAAGTAATTCTTATACAAAAATTATATAATTGGGTTGGTAATACAGATGGCTTTAGGATCTCCTTAATTGCTTTATATACTAACTTACATCTACATACACAATATTATACATAAATTGTATATATTAACACTAATTGAATAGTGTCACTTACTTTGTACAACATGTCATTATATAAAAATATAGTCCATATTAATAAAGCTTTTTACGTAAATTATAATAAATATGGATACGATAACATGGATACGAACGCAAACAGAAATTTTTTAAATTAATAGACTGAAATAATAATTACTAATTATTATTTTTTTTTTACGCGATTAATATAATTAATTAAAGAGGTGAAAAGATTTAAAAAATCGTTCACAAATCTTTTGTATTTTTAGATAGTGTAATTCTTTAAGAGAATATTTTCCCATTTTTTTTTATTAAAGTAAAAAATACAACCTGATATAAAAAAGAAGAAGAAGATAGTATAATTCTTTAAGTGTATTTTCTTGTTTTTTTATTAAAGTAAAAAATATAAATTAGAGGAACAGTAAAAATGAGCAGAACCTATGCGCGGCGAAATGAAGATAATCTCATTACGGCAGCGTAGAGCTATAGTAGCAAATAAAACTAAAATACTAGAGAAACCGCACTTCATAATTTTGTTTGAGATGCGATAAAGTCGATCTTTTATGCTTTCTAAGGATGAATTGCATCGGGCAATCAAACTGCTAATGAAAGATTTTACTCAATTGTGTGGAAAATGCCTCGAAAAGATTTCGATTGAATTAAATTGGTTGTTATTGCTATGTACGTATATGGCTAAAGCAATATTGAATAATGCAAAAATACAATGGCTTGATATTGACAATGGATAGAACTTTCTATCGATAGAAAATAAACCTTGTGCTGTTGAAATTGCCACACAATGGATAATAACTGCAAAAAAGCGGAGATTGATTGAGTTTTCGCGCATTCAAGTCTTGTCCCTTTTTTTAAAAATTGTATTGATTCTATGTTAATTTCATGTCAAAATAAAAAGTAGAGATAGATAGTAATAAAATTATAGAAAATATAAATAATACGGAATCAATTATAAATATGTTTTTCCATACAGCACAGATCATTCCAGCAATATTGCAGTTAAGCGTCTACAATAGGCAGTAGCAGTAGTGGTAAGGCTGTAAGACATAGAGCGTAAAGTAAGTCCGTAAGTGAATGATTGAAATCCATTTCCTACATTCTACTCTCTTGTTGCTTACGGACTTACTCTATGTCCTATTATACCGGAAAATCAGTTTATTCCCGATGTGTCTTACCACTACTGCTACTTATACCCACTGTAGACGACGCTTTATTACATTGCAACGTTGTAGTAATGTTGTTGCAAGCTTCTATACTATTATTATTAGATATAGATTGTAAAAAATTAAAAACAAATACTTTAAATTAAGAAGCGCCATAACGGTCAGAACGTTAAGATGTTGAACTATTGTAAATTCATTTAAATGAATTAATTTCAGAAATTATAATTATAAAAACAAATAATCCTGTAATTTAATGAAACAAATTTTAAATTTTTATAAAATCGTTTCTCTTCAAGTAGTTATTTGTTCTTTCTGCGAGTAAAGCCCGATCTATATAAAACGCAGAACGCAAGTTGCAAATCGCAAGCTTGTTACATCAGCCAATCCGATACGTCAATTTTAAAAGTGACATTTCGAGATTGACTGACGCAACAAGCTTACTTGCGCAACTTGCGACTCGTGTTACATTTTTACGAATGTACGTATATACATATCATCTAATCATAGAATTCCTAGAAGAATTCATAGAAATGCAACACAAGTCTCCTTGCAGATCCTCGAGTATTCTCAACAATAAACATTTCTTATTGTAAAAGAGCAATTGGTGTATCCCTGAGATTAAAGACATTCAAGTTACGCAGAATATTGCAGGTATTATGTGTTTCATGAATATTACTTAGAATACTTAGATGAATAATTTCTCTTTACGCGAATGTTCGAAAGTTGGAAATAAATTGCCATTTCCGTTAAACAAACTATGATATCGAATTGGAATATTATAATATTAATTATGCTTCTTTTTTAATAATGTCAACATAATATAATTTTAACATAATAAAAAATTTTATTATATAATAGAAAATATTTTATAATATAAAATAAATTATGTAAGAATAATGAAATTAAATCTCAATTTAAATATAATACATTGTAAAACATAAAGGTATATCAGGCCTATCTAATTTTAACTCCGAAGCCAAAACACAAAGCTATTGACGGAAAAAAATCGATGTAAGGTAAGATTTCGGAGACTGTAAAGTGCTGATACACGTCTAAACCACGCTTATATATATAAATTATTTATCGAGTTTTGTATTATATTAAGATAATAAATTAAAAAATAAAACAATTTCAAGTGCAAAATGCAGCCTTAAGGTGCCCCAGAAATACAACCTTCGCATACATTTCTCTTATATCGTCACATTTTTTTTATTTTTCAAACATTTCTACAGAACTTTCTAATTAACAGGTGTTCGACTCTCAACCGAGATAATATTTTTAGCAATAAATGAATTTATTTACAGATTTCCAACATATTAAGATATCTTTAACAGATGCCTATTGAGCATCAAAATTTAATTGTGATATTATCACAGTAGTTTAACTATGTTTCTGAGTCCGAAAAAATAAATTCGGCGCACAGTTCAAATGACTACAAAATATAGTATATTTTGTATGTACATATATAGTATATACAAATTCACATGTAATTATTTAAGCATTAAAGATCCAGCTTCGATTATTATGCGGCCTTTATTTCATACTGGTTGTGTTTTCACATATAACAGTCCAATAAGATTCTGATTTTTTTTTTCTAATTAAGTTTAAAATAGATCGCCTTTCTCGTGCCGTATTGAATCTGCTCATCAAGGCGTCAAGCTTGTTGAAAGCACTCACTCAAGCGTTTTAGACGGATCTGGTTTTTACGCTTTTGGAAGTCACTATATTATGCACGCCTATGAATTCACCGCAAGAAATACAAGCTATATCCATAAAAACGACAAGCTACCGAGCCTGTGGGTGTCCACAGCACATTACGCAGCGTAACCCGCGTACACGAAAAACCAATATTGCTACTCGAGCAAGACGGTTAAAGCTCGGTCTTGAAAGCCAGCACAAACCTGAATGCACTCCTAATTTCATTAGGGTCGTACGTGTACATCGTTATAACGGTTAGTTGTACCACTTAATAATGACCTCACGTACTAAGACATATCTTCGGGAACAAG